AAAAAAACAAAAAAAAAACATAGATTTCAATCCCATGGTTTCTTCTGGGGAAGCGAATAATGTTTGTTCCTCGTTAAAAATTCACTACATGTGTCTGGGAGTCAAATGCCTCGGACTAGATAGGGGAGGCAGATGGCCTCGGAAGCAGGAGTATCAGGGATGTAGGTAGATAGGACAGTCACATAGATTCATGAGGCAACTCCCAGAAGTTTCCCTTTCTTTGTTCATTGTTGAAGAACTTAAGTATCAGCCCTCGGTGAGCTTACACTTGAACCACTGTAGTTAAAGGATAGCTTCTCCCCTCTGATTCTAAACCCCACCCAAGGCACAGGGAACATCAGGAAGAAGAGAGTAGTTAAAAGAATGCAAATGCCCAGAGATACGAGGAGTGCTGGGAAATCCTGTCTCCTGGACAAGATGGGACCATTGCCCTTGTGAGCTCACTGCTGCTGTGGGCATCTGCACAAGATCAAAGCAGTCAAAACATCATCAAGGATGGGGTACCCGCTCCTGGAGCCCCACCCTCGGATGAGGGGCTATTGGCAGTTGATGGCCGCTGGGAGAAAGGGAGAGTCAGTTCTCTTTGGGCCATGGCTGTTGGTTGCCTGCCCATGCACCCAGCAGATGGCCTCACACTCATTAGCATATGGTCAACACTAATTGGACTCAATGGGTTATTAATTAAACTCTGAGGAATTTTTAAAGACTCTCCAGACAGAACTGAAATTGGAGGGTTCTTCCAGCTGACAGCCCCAACGCATGGACATCTTGGTTGATGTGGAGGGAGACAAGGGACATCCATTCGAAGCTGAGCAACATAAGGAATTGTTAATGGGGAAAGGAGGGTTAAAGATGGATAAAACAAATGCTTGCAATCCTGGCAAACAGTTCCCGTCACAGGCAGGACTGGAGAGCTATGGAGCAGCACATTTTGCAGAAGATGTGTAGCTCAAGTACTCATCACTTTAGTAGTTCAAAATTATTTATTCGGGTGTGATAGTATGCACCTGTGTTTCCAGCCACTTGGGATTGCAGAGCCATCCTGGGCAACACAGACACACACACAGACACGCACACATTCATACACTCACACACACACACACACACTCACTCACGCATGCACACACATACGAGCACATGCGTGCACACACACGTGCACACACGCACAGTAGCAATGCTGAAGGCGGTACCACACTGAGGTGGTTCCTATGTGTACACTGAGGACTCAGAGTTGAGTGCTGTGACTGAGAATTACTGGAAAGAAGTTGCCTGCAAAGGCCGATGGACTGATTAACACGTCAACCTCTGAGGAGAGATTGGAATGTTGCAGAACCGGGGTCTAATTACAGTGTCTTGCTCAATCTCTAGCCTACTAGCTATTCTTTGTCTCACCCGTGTGTCACCTAAGGCCTTGCTCCTAGCAACACCTCGCATCCTAACTACAGATAGAAACGGTTGGAATGTATCAACTTGACCAAACCCTGATTTTTCTCCCTCCACCAAAATGCTGAGTCATCAGATAGCACCTGAAGCCTATCACTGGGATTCCACCTCTGCTGTGCTGTAACTAGCACTCACTGTTTCTCCTGGCTGTGTTTAAATTGTCTTTGTCTTAGTCATTGTTTCTATTGCTGTGAAGAAACACTGACCATCAACAGTTGTTTGTTTCCAGTTCCACACTACTGATCATCGCTGCTGGAAGTCAGGGCAGGGACTCAAGCAGAGTGGGAACCTGGAGGCTGAGGCTGATGGCAGAGACCATGGAGGGTGCTGCTTACTGATTTTCTCCCCACGGCTTCCTCGGCCTGCTTTCTTATAGAACCCAGGACCATCAGCCAGGGTGGCAGCACCCACAAGGAACGGGACTTTCCCCACATCAACCACAGATCAAGAAAACACAGCACTGGCTTTTAGAGAATCCGTCTGGTGGGGGCATTTTCTCAGCCAAGATTCCTTTTCCCCAGATGACTCTAGCTTGGGTCAAAGTGACACTTTGGTTGGCGGCTTTCTCTTTTTTCTGCTACTCTAAAACTTCATGGAACTACTTCCATATTGGGATAACCTAAGTCTGTGTGTTCCAGGCCATGGTCCCTCAAATCTGGTCCCAGAATAAACTACCTCTTGTCCTCTTTGTACTGAGAGATGTGCTTTTTTGAATCAACAGTACAATATGGTTCATTGTCAGGGGCTCAGAGTACAGAGTACTAAGGCAAGTTCATCAAAATCACATACAGCCAGAATGTTCCAGGAAATCATGTGGAAGGAAGCAAAGGAAACATTTGACTTTGTGTAAAAGAAGGAATATATTTCCACACAAGAGTTTAAAAAGAAAAGCAATTTACACTTTTAAACCTACAGTTGTCGATTTTCAGACTTACACGTAGTCATAATATAAAGATGTGACATAAATTTGCAAGAGGACCTGGAAAGACCATCTACCCCATAAAGGATGGTGGACTTGATACCAACATTAAAACTTTTCGACTCAATGTGTAGAGCCAGGAAGTGATGTATTCTGGTGTAGAACAGCTGATTTAGACTGGCCAATGGTAAGACAAACCCCTTGTTTACCCAGAACTCTTCAAAGGTGTTCGTTTTCAATTTATGCAATCACAGCACGGACTGAGAAGATGAAGAAATACTTAAGACATGAGGCTAGTTTTGCCCTGCCTAAGGCAGACGAAGAAAACCAAGCTGAGATGTTCCGAGCTGCCATTCTGACCAGTGCATGCTGGATGAAGCACACACAGCAGCCATGGGGGGCAGAGTGGCTGGACACTTACTTCAGCACGGTTGAATTCAAGAAATGTATACACACAAATAAGTGGGAGAATTCAAAAAGAGAGACATCGTGATAAATACATAAATACATTTAAAAATATTCCTCACAGAGAGACGGCTGTCAAAACAAGATGACTTTGAATCTAATGTGAGTACTTGTTAAAAAAAAAAAATAGAAAAAAAAAATCTCTTATAAACATCAGGAAACTTCAACCGAAATACATAAGCCTAAAACCCAATAGCTGTTAATGTAAGAACCTAGAAGGCTGTGACCATGAAGGTCCCTCTGTAAAACCGAAGGCCTGGACTCCCATTGGAGAACCACGCTTCCAGTCCTCACGGAAGGCTGAAAGGTCTGGGCAAGACGTCGGCAGCAGAGCATGGGCCACTCAGAAAGAGCTGAGCAGGTGTCCGTGTGAGAACCGGCAGGCTTGGTTCTAGTCCATCCACTAGGAGAGGACCCTCATGACCTGGAACCTCGTATGGGCCCCACATCTCAGCACTGTTTCCAACCGAGTAAATCCCAATCTGAGCTAGAAGAAGCACTGAGCCACGGCATGGGATCGTACAGTCCTTTGCTGTGTAGTAAAATCCCTCAACGCGTAACCACAGAAAACGGTGCTTTTAAGCTCATGCACTCTGCGGAAGCCCACTGGTGGGCTTCTCATCCAGCTGAGGTCCATTTCCTTTCCCCACATGCAAGGGTTACTTTCCTGTGTCCTTTATTGCGATGTTGTAAGTCTGGAAGTGCCCACAGCACACCTGGACAATGGCAATGACTCAGGAGGGTGGGGTTGGATGTGTCCTCTGCTGCCTAGTGCCTGGCTCAGGAAAAGGCACCTAAGGGAGGTAGGTAGGTGTTGTCTTAGATCCAGAGAGGCTTCCTTGAGCACTTGAGACACTTTATGCTTCCCTAAAAGTTTTTCCAGACTCCTGTCAGCCGGCACTGCTCAGTAGAATTACAGACCAGAGATCTATAATTGCACCCAATACAACCCTTCCATGCTCCCCCCTGACCCCTCCATTCCCCCATACGCATGCACACACAGCCCTTCGCTATGTGCTGTAGAGAAGCTTAGTATTCAAGTCAATACAAGTGTGGTACCGTTGCATCCAGAGCAGAAACAAGGACGGCAAAGCAGAGCTGGGAAAAAAAAAAAAAACAAAAAGATCCACCTTGATGTGAGTCTCTGAACCCAGCCATCTCTGAAGCTACATCCATCTCTGCCCTTTGAGTCCCACACATCAATAAATCCTCTTGAGTTGTGTGCCTCTCTGTTATAAACACAGATAGATACCTTGTACAGAAACTAAAAGCAAGAATGGTGTTATACATCTAAACCTAAAATTGAAACTGGACAGTTTAAACAAACAGACCTGGAGCTCTTACTACATGAGAGTGAGACTGGTGGTTGAACTGTTGTCTGGTAACTCTTGTGCCTCAGTGTACCTGCACAATAACGGGCGTGGTGAAAATGTGTGCAGGTGATCCGGGCACACCCCCCAATGAATTCCCAAAATGCTATCTAAACACTTCAGGGCAGAACTTCCTGCCCATCTCGTAGGCATGGTGATACGTCAACATGCCAAGGAGGAGGCCCTCCCATCAAGAAGGCTCCGGATCGTGCAAATAGACCGCATAAGGGTCCATGACAAGAGAGGGAGCCCCCTGTTCCTAGAGCAGCACTCAACCCTCCTGATTCTGCGGCCCTCTAATACAGTCCCTCATGTGTGGTGGCCCCCAAGCATTAAATTATTTCCTTGCTACATCATAACTCTTAAGTGTGCTACTGTTATGGCTCATAATCATAGTATAAATATCTGATATGCAGGATATTTGATATGCAATCCCCCCCCCAAAGGGTTGGAGATCCACGGGCAGAGAACTGCTGCCCTAGAAGCTGCTGCCTCATCCTGTCACCCAGTTTCCAATATGGGAGTCTTCCTCCCATCCTTCCATAGGGCCTGCCTGCTTTGCCTCCTACCAACTCCTTGACATGTTGAGTGGGGTCACTATCTTATTTCTTGCCATAGGTAAATCCTCTACCTGTTAACAATAACTCAACCACAACACATATTCTACACAAAGAACCCTTATCATCAGGGACCCTCTTTCCATTCTTAATCCTTCAGGGGTCCGGTAGAGACCATACTTGCCCATAAGTAAGAGTGATCATAGAGGCTTTTGTGTGACCACACAGACAGGCGTGAAACAAAAGGAGATTTTCATGGAATGTTTATTTTAGATACCATTTTAATGTTGGCTTTAACCCTCACCTCTGGTTCCCATTCTTTTCTTGGAAATTCCAACTGTTGTTTTTTTTTTTTTTCTTTCTTTCTTTCTTTTAGAGAAAATATTATTTAAATATCATGAGTCTCTGAAGTCATGAGAGACTTTTCTTCTCTCCAAAATGGAAGGACATGGGGCTTCTGTTTTTATGCAGTATTTCCAAATACACATGTCAATATATATTTATAAACTACTGAAAAATAAAACCCTTTATCCTTTGAGGTTATTGATGTATCTAAGTCACCAATACATCTCACAATACAGTAAATTCTATTCATTTTCATGAATGAGGTGGAAACTAGACTAAAAAAAAGGATTTTTAATCCCTGAGGTGTCAGTTAAAATGCAGAGGTTACCAAGATATTTGTTTGTTTTAAAAATTAGCTTTAAATAATTAGCATAGATCATGCTATCGCCATTAAAACCATTTCCACTGCAGGGAATCCTTTAGAAAATTGCATTTTCTGGGTTAAGTTTACCCTGATACTCCCCCCCACCCCCAGCTCTCCGGGTGTGAGAAGTTTTCCTTTCGTAAAGGAGTAACACAGTGGTAAGTCTGTGCAAACTTCTGAGCGACCCAGAAAGTAAGGACCACCCATCTTTTCAGCTTGTCACATCACCATCACGTGGCTGGAGAGGAAACCTCAGCATCATTCCAAAACCTGGAAAGGTTGGGTCAGTGCACGATAGGCAGATGCTGCTGCTTGGGTTGTCTATTTCTCCAGAGGTAAGAAGAGTCTAAAGCAAACCCTCAGGCCCTTGGGAAAGCAGGCTGGCCCCGTGCTCTCTCCACACCATCCCTGCCTGCAGAACCCACTCTTCCTGGTGGCCTGCAGATGTTCTGGGGTCCACACTGTGCCCTAGTAGTAGCGGTTTAGGCTCCGGGTGCCGGGCACCTCAGGCTGCCCATTCATCCAGATTTCCCTGATGATGCGCTCGCGCTCCTCCAACCGCTGTGCGCGCTCCAGCTCCTCTGCAGAGGTGAACACGTTCTTGTTCAAAGTCCTCTCGAAGCGGCGGTGCCTGCGCACCGACAGGTCTGAGGCTGTGTCCTCGCTGCCATCTTCACTGTCGCTGCTGCTATCGGTGCTGCTCTCACGGTCCCGCAAGCACCTCCTCCTCCTCCGGGGACCCCTCCTGCAGTCAGTGTGGCAGGATATCCTCATCACTAAGGCGGCCAAGGTCAGGAACAGGCCGATGCACACGCCAGAGACGAAGTACAGAGCAGCTCGCTCAGGGTTTTCTGTAGGGAGAGGAAGAACGAGAACACAATGGACAGGCGCCATGATGTCTCCATGCAGGGTCAGGGATGTAGAACCATACTCTCATCAAGAATGATGGCGCTTCGATGGCAACCAGTGCCAGCCTTCCCAGGAACAAATTTCATGACGTTTCCAAAGAGAATTATCAAGCCAGGTATGGCGGCTTGTGCTTGCAAATTATCCCAGCGTTTGGGAGACCGAGACAGGAGTAGCGCTGGGAATTCAAGCCCAAAGTAAAACTATCTCAAACAGACAAAAGAGGCTGGGGAGGTGGCTCAGTGAATACAGATCTCTACCTCCAAGCCCAGGGACCTGAATTCTATCCCAGGAATTCACACTGTGGAAAGAAAGAATGGGTAGACACCCTCACATTGTCCTCTGCCCGACAGCACACATGTGTACCAAGAAACGGCACACTGGAAAACACAAGCAAATGTAATAAAAGAAAAAGGCAGGATAGATAGACAGACAGACAGATAGACAACTGGCCAACAACACATCTATTAGGGGCAAGGTATGTGAGACCACCACTCTGTTTTCAACATTTCCAAAGCTGACAGCTTCCAAAGGACTGTGTTTGCTAACAGCCATGTGGGTGAGCTTGGAGGTGAACCACTCTCAGGGTGAAGAGGTGAAGTGATACAAGCCTGGCTTTGCACTAGCCTTGAACTAGCGGTCTCTGAACTGGAGAACCCAGTTAAGCCAACACAGCCTTCAGAACCCCAGAAACCTAGTGGTGTGTGTGCAACTTTTACGTGGGAGATTGTGTGCACATTGGGTCATGAACGGCCAAGTGTAGGTGCTAAGAACTGAACCCAGGTCCTCGACCAAAACAGTACCTGCTCTTAATTGTTGAGCCACCATATCTCCAGCCTTCTCTGCTGTTTCAAGACCCTAAGTTTGGGATGGTTAGTATACAGCCACGAACGACTTGTATACTGAACCACACGTCTAAAGCAGGACAGGTGTTGAGGAATGACCTCATCAAGTTCACTGAAAGAGATGCCAGCCTGGGGAGCATGGCCAGAGAAAGACATTAATTGTTCTACAGGTGTGGTGTACGCGCTCAGTGACCCCTGTGGTACTCAACAGAACCATTGGGTGAACAGAGTCCCTTTCACGAAAAGATGCCTGGCCCAGGTCACAGGGCATGGTTAAACCAACAGGATTTACATACACACTAGCAAACCTACTTTCCATATTCTGCAGTCACTTGGGAAAATGAATGAACATGCTGTTTTGTGTCATCAATAGCAATGGCATCACGATGACATGGAATTGCTTTGTAAATTTAAAGCTGGGCACGGTGGCCCAGAGACCTGCAATCCCAGCACTCTGGAAGCCGAGGTAAGAGTACCAGGAGTTAAGTTCATCCCCAGCTGCTGAGTTCAAGGCCAGCCTGAGCCAGCTACACAAGGTCCCTCCCTGCCTCTCTGTGTGTGTGTGGGTGGGGTGGGATGGGGGGGTCCTTAGTGAGATTTTCAGATTTGTGTTTATGGTGACAATACTCTGCAGAACACATCCATAGAGATCACTGAATTGTAGATTGAGCCTGTGAGCTGTTTCTCATATTTTCACATGTTAACGATTTAAAGATGGGGGCTGGCAAGATGGCACAGTAGATCCCTGCAACCCACATAAAGGTAAGAAAACAGAAAACGGGACCCTAGGACACACTGTTTTCTCCTTCCTGGCTTCTTTAGGGTGAACAGCCACATTCTGCCCCAGCCTCCCACTATGGGTGATTGAGATCTTTCAAATAATAAGCCAAAAGAAATCCTCCAGCCTTTAAATTACTCCTTGTATTTGGTCTCAGCAGTGGAAGTTTAACACTGTCGGATGTGAGAAATCTTCCTAGAAAAACAATGTCTGAGCTATGAGTTGATAGCTATGATGAGTTAGCCATGTGGAGATCAGGAAGAATGTTCCGGAGGGTACACAGGTGTGAAAGCTATGCAGCTGTTCGCCAATGCATGAGATGTCAATCTTAGAGGGGGGGGGAGGGGTTATGCTCCTGGTCTCTCGGTTTTGGCGAATCATGCTTTCTAGCTATGATAAACAAAACAAAGTAACTCAGAGAGGGAAGGGCTTGTTCGGCTTATTGGTCCCAATAATAGTGCATCACTAAGGGAAGTCAGGGCAAAAACTCAAGTAGGGCAGGAACCCGAAGGCAGGAGCTTAAGCCAAAGCCACAGGGGAATGCTATTCTCTGTTTGCAAACATCCCCCATGCCTCCAGATTACTCAGCTTGGTTTCTTACCCAGGGCCACCTGCCCCAGGGAAAGCCCCAGCCATGCTGGACTGCCCACCCCCCACCCCCATCAGCCAAGGAAGAAAATGCCCCCACAGGCTTACCTACAGGCTAATCTGAGGTAATTCCTCCATCACATGTCTAAGTTTGCGTCAGGTTGACAAAACTAGCCAGCACATCCATGATTAGTTCAAGTTCACCCGATGGCAGTGTGCTATCTATTGTTATCGTGTGTGATAAGCCCGGCTCAAAGGCTCACTGATATTCAGCCTGAGCAAACGTAGAAAATCATTAAGCTCAGATACATGGGAAAATCATTAAGCTCAGATACATGGGACATGACTTGGGTGACTAAGAGCCTTCTATGAGGTTAAAGCCTGTGAATCAATCGCCTATCAGTTAATCACTTCAACCTGGGTCCATTTCAGCCTCATAGACCCTCAAGTCACAGAGCACAAGATAAAATGCTGATGGAGGGGGCTGGAGAGATGGCTTAAGGGGGTAAAGCTGCTGCACAAACCTCAGGATCTGAGTTTCGATCCCCACCACACATGTTACAGTTGAGAAGTGGGCACATTACTGTAACCCCCGCCCTGGAGAGACAGATAGGTCCCCCGGGGACTCACATGCCAGACAGCTGAGCCAAATCAGTTAGTTCAACAAGAGACCCTGTCCCCAAAAATAATGGGGGGAGTCTGATAGAGGAAGACAGCTGACTTCAGTCTCTGGCTTTCATATGTGGACACACACACACACAGAGAGAGAGAGAGAGAGAGAGAGAGAGAGAGAGAGAGAGAGAGACAGAGAGAAATAACTGGAATGGAGTGGGTGGGTGGTGTGTGCTGCACATTGGAGCAGACGCAGAGAGAGGACAGAGTTGAGTCACAGAGCTCAGGGGATGGTCTCTGAAAGGAGGCTCAGTCCAGGTGGCCCCTATCAGACCTCATTCCAGTGACAATTCAGAAGTGCATCGCTGGGGGAAAAGCAAAATGAAAATCTATTTGCTGGAAAATGAGTTCTGCTTATTACCAGAATCAAACCTCTCCCAGGGGCCGTGTCTTGGCTTGGATGCTCTGTGCAAATAGAACGCACAGGCCCATTCACTCTAAAACAGCCTCAAGCGCCTGCCCCCAGGTGCCATGACCATTGATTTTCCTACCCCCCTCTGCAGAGGACAGAAGTACCTGAGGTGACAGCTTCCTCTATCCACCCAGCCACCAGGGCCCTTGAGGCCACTGACCCTGCCTGTATTGCTATGAGTCTGAGAAAGCCTGGACTCTGGCTGTGAGCTTTGCTGGGGGTAAGCTGTCTTAACAGTTGGAAGTATGTTCAAGAGAGTAACAGTAGCAGATTTGTTTTTTTTTTTTTTAATTTTTACATTGTATTTTCAAAATAGGGTTTCATGTAACCCAGGCCAACTTTGAGTTCCTGGTCTTCTTGCCTCCATCTCTAAGAACTGAGATCACAGGTAACAGGTATGACCATGCCAGCATCATGGGTAGCCTTAAAAGAACCATTTCCAGTGCCTTTAACAGACATTTTCTTGGTTCTTTCCATGCAGTTTTTAACGGAGAAGACGCCTGAGATTGACAATGTGTTCGCCTGCCCCCACCCCCACCAGGCCCCAAGCCTCTCTCACTAAAGATACCCTTCCCCCTCCCCCTTTCCCCTTCCGCAGCTGAGCTGTATGTGTCACAGCGGGCTATCACCAAGTGCAGATGTGGCCCGCATGCAAGCATGTAAAGGAAAATACTAACAGTCAGTTCAAGAGCTCCTCGGAACTAACACATCCCGTCCCAAGTCATTTCCGGTTCTTAGTTTCCTGTGTGCTTGTGTGCAGTGAACCTACACATGTGTGCTTGTGCTAGAGGAGGCCCTCGGCTGACGTCACAGGCCTCCCACGGCTGACGTCACAGGCCTCCCACGGCTGACGTCACAGGCCTCCCACGGCTGACGTCACAGGCCTCCCACGGCTGACGTCACAGGCCTCCCACGGCTGACGTCACAGGCCTCCCACGGCTGACGTCACAGGCCTCCCACGGCTGACGTCACAGGCCTCCCACGGCTGACGTCCACCTTATTTTTCAGGCAGGGTCTCTCAAACCCGGAGTTTGCTCTTCTGGGTAGCCACACTCGCCAGCTTGCCCCTGGCGCTCCCATCTCTACCTTCCCAGCACTGAAAGGGCAGGCTGCCATGCCCAGCTGGTGTTTAAAAGGTGTAGGGGACCCGAACACAGAGCTCTGATTCAAACAGCCACATGGAAAGGTCAGAAGTAAACTTGGAGTGGACCACCTTTAAAGACCCCTGGAGAGTTCAGGCCACTGTTGATGCAGTCAACAGTCTACCTCTGCTGAAGCTCCCGTCCCATGCCTTGGCTGCTTGGAGACTTCTCTTCATTCACTGCAAGAGCATGGTCTCAGACCATGTGTTCTCACACTGTCGCATTGGTCACGCGCTCCAACACTGAACAGACACAGTGTAAGAAAGAGCTTGGGCAATCCTCCGTTTTCCAATCCCATCACAGGTGGGACCACTTTGTATCCTCTTGTTATAGCTTGAATGTGAAATGCTCCACCAGGCTTCTGCCTGAACACCTAGTCCCCAGCTGGTGGCACTGTTTGGGAGTTGGGAAACCTTGAGGAGGCGGGCCTCCCGGTGGACAGCCCAGTCCTACGTCCTGTGCTGTCCAATTCCTAATCTAGCAAGATGTCATGAGTCAGCCACAGATT